AAAATACAAAAAAAAAAAAAAAAAAAAAAGGTAACTGTATTGAAAGACTTTGTGCTACATTTACCTCTACCAAGTGTCTTGAACTGTAGCTAATGGCAACAAATATGAGGTAGACTTCCTTTAAATACTGAGACTTGCCAGCCATGTTTAAAAATTAACTTATTAACAGAAAGTTTCAAAAGAATAATTGATCAAATGCTATGTTTTTAAATTTCACTCTAATGGACAAATAAGTACTATTTAAAATATCTGAGAGTCCTATATATTTTAACATAAAGATGACAACTCCATGATTTAATTTAAACACTAGAGGTTAAGTGGAACAAGGGCTATTCTTTAAAAAAACCACATATAAACCAGCTAGTTAGACTTTACAACGAAGATAAAAATGACACATAATCAGAATAACGCAACACCTATAATTCAATGTAATGCCTTACAGGAATGCTGTAGTAGTGTCTAAAATATAGTCTGAATATTTCTGAGTCATTCCCTAACTTTGTAACGGCATCTAAGCAAAAGTGACAATCTGATCGAATAAAACTATCAGAACTATTGGTAAGATTAACAACCACCATCACAACAAATCTTCAGTTCTAGGGCCAACACAGAAAGATGGGTTAAAATTTTTAAAAGATTTCAACACAGAGGCGCTGTCTGGTTTTAGTTTGTTGGCAGGCTGCTATACGATTGACAGAAACTAAAGAATCAGTTACCAAAATGTCAACAGCGCTGTGGTTGAGAAACTCTGAAGTAACCTCACTTTATTTGTCTGGCTCATCTAGAGCATTATATTCCGTACACATTTTAAAAACAAGATTTCACCATGACTCTCCAAAGATTTCAAGGTCTCAGGACTCACCCCTTAATAATAAAAGGGTTTGAAAGAAGTCTGAAAAAGAGATATTGCTTCCTTGGATCTTCATGGCTGGACATGAATGAATTTCATATGTTATCATATATTTGAATGAATATTTTCAGTTGATAGTTTGTTGCCAAAGAAACAGTGCTTTAGAAAGAACAGACATAGGCAGTGTAACCACAATGCTGAGAAGCACAAAGCCTAGCATACAGCAGGCACTCAATTGATATGATGAATGAATGGCTATCATTTCAAGACAGAATATATAAAAACGACTTAAGCCACGTGTGAATCCGTAAGAGTTAAATGAAGTATTGTTTCAAATTATAATGATAGAACTTAATTTTCCATATTGACAATACAATTACCGAGCTTTTGAACTAGTAAAAAATCTGAGAAATTGCTTCAAAGGATAAGAATCATGAAATAGGTAGATAAAAATCCTTACTTTCTTCTTTTCATACTTCATTCTTTTCATTTTTTTTTTCATTGTTTCCCCATAGTTCCAACCAAACTTCTTTGCTTTCATACTGTGCAAAGCTGATATATCAAGAATCTGTTCCTCTTATCATTTTATTTTCTGGTCATCATATAATTAGGTGTGGAAAACAAAAGACAAACACACGCACACAGAAGCTGGCTCTAGGGGGAAAATGTTTCTACTGATGAGTCTTGTCATTTAGCCTAACTTTTTTTATACCAAAGGCACTCTTGATTTTGGCACTATCAAATGACAGTGGACCCTCCCATGTCAAAAGGTAGCCTCTCAATTGACAATATTCCCAATGTGTGAAGATTTCCCAATGCTTCAGGATACGAGAAATAGGCTGTGTGTGTGTGTGTGTGTGTGTGTGTGTGTGTGTGTGTGTGTGTGTTCAAAAGATTTGAGGAGGAAACTTTTTAGGTTACAAAATATCCAAGGATAGCATAATTTTTTAAATAAATACACATCAATATAAATTAAATAGGAGGAAAAACTAAAATGAAATTAACTGAATGAGTTTAGTCATGTCTTGTTTTAGCTAATTATTATTTTTTTTAACTTATGGAACTTTTGTAGCGAACATAAAAGGTGAAAGAATTTTGTGTCATTTATTTTCCCTACCCACTCATTCCAAACCTTTTTCTGTGTCTGGAGTATTTTAAAACAAATCTCAGACATCATATCTGGCAAATCATTTTAAAGTAAAATCACTGGCCCATATCAAGGCCATTAGCAACCACTGAAAATAAAACACCTTTGTATTTCCTACTAATTTTACCTTGGGGACCTAGGTTTTATTAATGCTTTCTTGGACTGATGCATGCAACTGAGGCATAAAAGCTTACACATATGGCCACTTTGTTGTTTGTAATGAAGAGTCCACACAAGTCTATGAATACTGATTAGGATTCAACCAGAAGTAAAAGTGGTTTATTATTTTAGAGTATATGCACATTTATTTTCCTCTTTTAAATAATCCTAATAACATTACAGTTTGATGAAATAATCTAAATTGAATTAAAACTGAACAAATAGATTATATAGTCAATTAAATTCTACTTCAATGTCCATTATTAACTAATTCAAGCCTGAAAGTATGTTATCTGCTCATAGTAATGATGGGTAGAGGTTGAGTTCTGTTGTCCTAGTTGCTCTGGGACGTACCTAACTTTTTGTCCCGTAATGTCTCAGGTGAGCTGTACTCCATAATTAAGTAGGTCGCTCTATATGCACAGATTGAATGTTGAACACACTGACCTTATGTTAAAAAAGAGTTTGTCTAGAGAGAGTATAATTCATTAATTAACTAAGTATTTTTCTACTAAGTTAGTTTTAGTGGTTACACAAATGTCTTCATACACATTCTTATATAGCTATGACATTTAGCCTCAAATCAGAATTAACCCAAGTATGGTCTCCCCATCCCCAACTTACCACATACAACAGTAACCAGGATGCTATCATACCAACTAGTCTAGGCAATAAATTCTTTAAAAATTCCTGGTATAAAAAATTGTGTTTAAAATAATCTGCTACTTCTACTACTCATTGACATTAAGCACTTCTCTCCTAGAGCGATTAATATCACTGAAGCAAGGAAAATACTACTTATAGGATGAAAATTCAAGAGTTTTGATTAAAAAAATTTTTAATTAAAAAATAATATTTTAAAGTCTTGTATAATCAATAAAGAAGGAAGAAGAGAAAAATAAGGGTGGAAAACTGAAAAAAAAAAAAGGTTCATGACCAAATGAGGAAGGAGCAGAATTTATTTAAGATTTTATCTGACCTCTTTTCATGTGATGCTAACATCTTTTTAACCCTAAACCTGTATATATGAGCTAATTCAAACACATAAACATGTAAATGTTTAATTACTTATGATTTAAAACCATCTTTATTCCACATTGCAATAAAAGGATTCATAAATAAAACTTCATCGAATGAACTTTAAAAAGGAACAGCAGACCTTATTCCAGTGAATTCTTAGATTGAAATTCAAAAAGTGAGCACAAAACAGAAGCTGTGAGTACCTGTGCCTTAGAGCCAAGAGGTGCCTTCCTCTTGAATAAAGACTAAAGAATAAATGCTAAAGAAGAATAAAGACTAAAACAGCCTCCTGCTATAACAAGAACAGCAACACCAAGGTTAAAGAGCCAGATTTACATCAAGTAGATACCGTCCTAAGTTTGCTTTGAAAGGTACCTTGGGAGCATGTAAGAAAAGTCACTCCTAAGAGCAGTAAATGCAACTGCATTTACTTTAGAATGTGCGAGCCTATCGCGCAAATTCCTCTTACAAAGAAATGGAATTGGTGCTTATTCATTTGAGTCTCCTGAGAATTCTGAATTCTTCAAGCAATCCACAAAGTTCACAGATACCTTTCTTCATATGGTGGATTTAGGATCGACCCACTTACCTATAGTGTATAAGATGCCAGTAAAGATGAGTTAATAGAGATTCACTCTACCAAGATTCCTAGTAAAATAAAGTAGGAGCAAGCAAAGAGACAGGGATATTTAGGAAAAAATAATTTGAAGTCTTAGGTGACAGTCCTTAATTGGTAAGGGAAGAAGTAGGGTAAAGTAGACGGCGGATTAAAAAGAACCCAAAAAGCCGTCTTTAGAGAAAATTTAATGAATTAAGAAACTTCAGACATTTAAATTTCTTTACCTGCAACAGCACACATAGAAGAACCACAACTACTGTTTGAGAATTCACTCCCATTTAATGCATGTCTTGAATGTCATGCAGCAAGTAACATTCTTTGCTAATTCTAAGACTATCTGAACCACTAACGTTCAGAAATATTCTCTTGAGACAAAACAGGTTTTCTTTGACCAGAACGACTTAATTGGCATAGAGCAAACCTATCACTAAGATCTGTACTTCCAGCAAAGTTTCTCAAGTGGAGGTCACTTTCTTGGTGTTACAATAATGAATCCCTGCCTATTTTAAGTTATTTTCCCTACTCCGGGAAATAGCCTGTTCTAAATTTCACTTCTTATCTTTGTGATTAAAAAAAATAAGTTGAAATAATAAGGCCAACTTCCATCAAATATCTCACTTTCAACTACTAAAAATGTGACTACCTGTATATGAGAAAACCTGAATTTTTATTTTACTTCAACTTTGACTCACAAAGTTGAACACTCCTTTTACAGTTCTGTTGTTTTTAACTCCAACTAACTCATTATAGCAAATTAAAAATAAAAGATCTAAAACAGTAATTTTTGAAAAAAAAGAAAGTAAAGTTTGGGAGAAAGTCATCCATGGATAAAAGCTGAAGAAAGATTTAAAAAATTTTTTTTACAATAAAAGGCTATAAAAGGGTCTCAAAAATAGGTACATGCAAATACAGAGAAAAATCTCCAGAAATTCTAGTAAAATAAACTCTATTCTAAAAACCAAAGGACACCAGTAATTGTTTCTATTTCTAGATATTTAAGAATATTTAATCATTAATTTCTGTTAAGTTATTGCTAGTAAGAAATGGTTGATGAAAATGGATCTTGTATGTATAAATACACATTTAAAGCAAATGTCTCCTAAAGAAAAGTTTAAATGTTAGTATGCACTTTTCAAATGAAAGAATTATCAACATAAACAAGTGTCACTAATTATCATTTTTAACATAGGCAATATCCCTTCTTTTGAACCAATAAAAATGGCAATTTTTAACCTGCGGACAGCACAGGTAGGACAACCACAACTTTTTATTAAAATAACTGCCAGGATCATACTGTATGGGTCCAAATTAAGAAAGCTAAGTAAGAAACTGTCCATGAATTCTGATGTGGCAAATAGAGAAATGTCTAACTTCTAAACATTCGATTTTCTAGTTCTCAACCAGAACTCCTGACTCCACTCCTGCACACCCACATAGCCCACACCCAAGGTAGTGACACATCGAGCTACCAGCTGCAAGCACGTGCTAAGAGCACAAGAAATAAAGGCTTTGATGCTGGCTGGGGGGAACAGTTTAACGACTGGGAGTGAGACACTGCCACAGCTGGCTTACATTTCTCTGTTTCATGTCAAAAGTAGCATGTCTCTCTTCCCCAACAGGTAAAACCTGTTATCTTCTCTTGTCCTCACATTAACCTCCAAATTTGGCAATCTATTATCATTCACACTTCAAAGACTAAAAACCTGAGATTCGAAACTATCTCACTGTGATCCAGGTAGTAACTGGCAGGACCAGGTGCCACCTTCCCCATGTCATCTCCAGCTTCAACATCCTCTCCAAATTCTCAGCTAATAATATAGGCAAATTCACCACAGCATCCTCGCCCATGTCACTTATAAAGAGATCAATTCCTAAGCAGCATCAGGATATGCCAGAGAAATGTTTCAGATGACAGACAGCATCTTAGGTCACCCTCCAAACTTTAAGATGTCTTAGCATTATTTCAGCAGTAATTTCCAACCTTTTCATGACACAAAACAGAAAATGATAATAAGTGTACAGCCCACTGCTCAAGGCCAGAGCTGACCAGCCAGGAGGTTCCAGCAGCTCCAAGCCCTGCCCGGCAACACCAGTTCTAAAACTCCCACCATCTACTCCTAGTGGGTCAGACAAAAAAGGCACAGAAATCAGTGAAGTAATAAAAGAGAAATGAAGATGAAAACCTCAGGGTCTAACTTTGACAGACCATGAGGAGTTTTCTTTTCCTAATATCAACTTTGGACATATTCATTCAGTGTCCTGTACAGGGTGTGGACAAATTATACGCCAGTTCTGTCAGGTATCAGCATAGGAGCTACCCAAAGAACAGGAATCACCAGAGCAGAATTCGTTTAATACTGCAAATCTACCACCATTAAAAGAAAAACTCTAAAAAACTAATGACTAAGGCTTCCCCATAGATTATAGCTTGCTTTAGCATCCAGGTCATAAGTTAAGACTTGAGATCTTTTGTAGGTATTGTTACTTTTTAAAGAGAAAACAGAAAATACACCTAAAATCTTAACACTGTACTTGGATCAACACAGTAATTAACATCACACATATTCCTGTACCTAACTAGCTTGTTTAAAAAAAAAAACAAAAAACCTTTGTTTCTGTCCTTTTTCTCTCTTTTCCTCCCCACTTTTCTTTCTAGCTCTCATTTTAAACTAAAGTATTTTTATATATAAAACATTCTTGATTTGGGAAAAGACTAGTGCTTTAACTGAAGCAAAAAGCACAGAACTAACAGCCCATTAAAATGCACAAGACTAAATGTGAATGTATCTGTTTATTTACAGCTTTCGGTACTTAAAATTTCAAATAAAGTCATCTGTCCAATTGCTTTAGTTTAAAAAAATAAATCATTTTTCCATTCTCTTCTAGAAAAAGCTGCAGCACAAATAAACACAGTAGAGAGTAGTGAAAACAGAATTACATTTAAAACATAGTTTAGAAAACATATGTACCTCTTTTAGATTAGTAAGTATAAAATGTAATTGTTGGTGACAAAAGCCAACAAGAATGAAATACAGACATTTATATCTTATTATGTTCACATGTATCATAGAGACAAAAACAGTAAGTTTTAAACTTTTACTAGATATGAATATACACATATAAATTAGAAAAACCCTCCCTTTATTTTTACCCCAAAGTTTTCTTCTATTTTCAGTAAAAAATTTTTTTACTTTTCAAAAGTATATGACAACTGTCAGTACAAATCTCTCACTTCTTTAACATGTACTTTTCACACTACGATACACAGTTTAGGTATCATGATGCATTTTAAAATGGGTCAGTTTAGTGTCAAAACCCGAGATGCTTCAAGGAAACTAGAGAGACTTAAAGTTAGCAGTACGTCATATGGAATTGCAGCATACATACTGTATTGCCCCGTGCTAGTCTGATATATGCTAGTCGGCACTGCCATAGCAGAGATATTAGGTGACGTTCCTGCTTCCTCGGATTTTTCTTCTTCAATCTTGGGAACACCAGGCACATCAGAGGAAAGTTCATTCAGTATTTTTCTAAAATATAATTTAACAATATAAATAATTAAGATACATGAATGAGATTTAAAACAGAACAGCTATAATGGGAGAATCTGATGTATAATTATTCTCTTTTTCGGAAAAAGTATCATTACAGTAGGAAACTTAACTTACCTGTAAGAGGGTCTTCGTGAAAGGATTTCTCTGCGTTTATGAAAATCAATTACACTTTCTGATTCTGCAGACTCATCTGCCTCCGCAATTGTTGCTACCTATAACACAAGAGTTCCTGAAATGCATCATAAAATCCATGGTATCTCCTTCATTCACAACACGGTGCTTAAGGGTCTCTCTGTGTGTAGCACTAAGCCGGGCGCTGGGGACAGAACACACTGAGACGCACTAACCACGCTCACAACCTGGCGCAGAGGAAGAGGAAGCGCAGACAACAACACTTAGCTGTAGAACCAGCCTGTGTGCAAAGGATGGCACAGATAACATATACTGCAGAAATGCAAATGAGTGTCAGGCAGCCTTCAGGAAAGCACTCAGTGTAAGATACACAAGACCTAAGATCCAACATTGAAAATATCTCATAAATCCAGCAGGGGGTGAGCCAGCGAGTGACAGAGGCAGAAAACAATACCACTGCTGACTTATGCTGCTGGGTCTTCAAATTAGACATTAGATAGGTACAAAGAAGATAGAATATTTAAGCAGGTAAACACGTGGGTAACAAGCCTGGTTAAAGTTACAAGTAGGTGGGGTGGGCTTGATGGCAGTAGGTCTTGAAGGTCAAAATAAGGAATTTTTCCTTAAAAGAAAGATCAGAGTTTTAAATACAATTTCATTTTTTCAAGTAATAGTATAATAACAAATAGTAAAGAAAGTCAGGAAACTAAAATAATGAATCTCTCTACAACATGACTGCTCTCAATATATTCAGCCATCTATCATAGGGGCTAGGATAGTTCTGAGTTTGCAAAACTCACTTTACTTAATATTACAACTATATGGGAATTTGATTTGGGCACAATCAAAAAAGCTTATTAAAATACCGACAATGCAGGCAGGAATATATACTTCCCAAGGCACATGGATGTACATATTTGTTCACCTACATGTATGACCTTGCATCTCTGGTGATGAACACCCTACACATAAGCACACTCATCCATGAGGAGAACTTATTAGAGAAACTGTCGCTGCAAATCAGACAACCATATATCATCACCAAATATTTATCACTTTAAAGTGGGCTTCCACATATCTCTCGTACAATCATAACAACTCCCTTATGCAAGGTAAGCTATTATTTTAGAAAGTGAAAACTGAAGTTCATCATTCGACAGGTAGGAATTCTAACACAAGATCCACAGACAGCTATCTCTACAAAGATAATCATATCATCCATTTAACAAAATCCAAAAGAACCTACTGAATATGAGATATTTTCTTCCAGTACCAGCAAGGTTAAAACTAAGTACAAATATTGATATCTGCACCCCAATAAAAGTCATAATACAATAAGGAGAGTGGAAAAACTTTCTTGCTTTATAATTAGGGTCAGAAAGAATCAGAAAGTCCTGGAATCAAAGTTCATTGCAGGAAAGAAAAAAAAAAAAAGACAATACTGAGAATCACTCTTATATTTTTGAAAGACAGGAGAGACACCTGTGCTGAAAAGATAACCAAGCTTTTAACGCACGTGGATTTATTATTACTTCAAGTGTCATGTTGCAACTCTCATCCTTATTCTGCAGCAAACTGGATTCAAATATGCAGGAAAAGGTAAGACTGATTAAGTATAAGAAACTACATTTTCCTCAGAGATCTTTTCGTCATCAATTAGGTTCAAATAATTTCAACATTTAAAGGACAAAAATAAACTGACCTAAAAGGAACAAACATAGATTCAGTAGAAGAGAAAAGTATGCTTTTAAAAATGCATACTTTGGGCTTCCCTGGTGGCGCAGTGCTTGAGAGTCCGCCTGCCGATGCAGGAGACGCGGGTTCGTGCCCCGTTTCGGGAAGAGCCCACATGCCGCGGAGCGGCTGGGCCCGTGAGCCATGGCCGCTGAGCCTGCGCGTCCGGAGCCTGTGCTCCGCAAATGGGAGAGGCCACAACAGTGAGAGGCCCGCATAACGCAAGGAAAAAAAAAAAAAAAAAAAAAAATGCATACTTAATAATTTACATCTGTTGATGCAAAGAAATGTTTTAGCTTCGAGAAATGTTAAGAATTTATGACCAACTTTGATGACAATAAATAACAAAACACATCTCTGGATCGCAACCACAACACTAACCACGTCTAAAAAAACCAAGGTTTAATCTGATGTATAAACGTAACACCAAGTAACAATAATATCATGTCACACATATTGAATTAACAATAAACCTAAATTTCTACACTCTAATGTGAGTACTGGTGAAAACAGCATCAGTAGTACAATATTTACATTACCATGTTTATTAGACATCTCCAAAGAATCCTCAAAATACTTTTAAGCATCTTTGGAGAGCACTGCTAAACAAATCTAAGTTTGAGCAGAGAGCAACAACTTAAAGGAGAATGACTCAATCTGTAAATTAAGAGCTGACAATAGAACTACAACTCGAGTCAAATCTATGTATCTAGCAGGGCACAATGCACCTCACACATAAAAAGGAAATTCGTCTAAATGTTTAATAACAAGATTTGAGCGTCAAAGCTACACAAAGAAAATGAGGATAAATGAATTAGTAAAAGAAAAAAAAAAAAAAGCTCAAGAAAGTCCAAGACAAATCATCCGGGAAGGAAGCTAACCTGAACAGTTTGTAATTGTGGTGACTGAATAACCGATGGCTGTCGTGTCTGAAATACTCCCTGGACATGTACAGTTTGGCCTGAAGGTAACTGTACTAGAGTTACAGCTGGGGAGCCTCTTCCGGTGCCTGACCCAGCTACAGAAACCTGCAAAAATGATCATCATTGAGGATTAAGGCTGGATCTTTTCTTGGTTCTTTACGTTTTTCTTAAAGAAATACCATTCACTATTATGACTGGCCTATTTTTCCTGCTTCTAAGAAATGACAAGCAAGCCGGGGTACGTACCATTAGGAGATGGTTACTGTCCTGGAACAGTCATTCTCTGATGTGACAGATATTAAAGAACCCATGCTCCTCACTGTCGGTTCCCATGCTTTGGTGGCTAAAAATGTTCCAAGCACAAAGTTCCAAAGCAGTTAAACTACCTCACTACGACCTCACGACTACTAACAGTGAAGCCTTACTTAGGCCAGAGTATAAACCACCCTCCTTAACTTAAGAGAAATCGGAGACAGAACTTAAAGATGGTAAATTATTTTTTAATAAATGAAACTTCTGACATATGATATTATAGTATTACTCCAGACACAAGCTAATGCCTTGTCTCTATACTGATGAAAACTGCAGTTACTTTTATGCCCCAACAGTCACAAAAAGGGCAAAAGCCAAAGAAATTCCAGGACCTCTCATGCCCCTCGCACCTCCGAACCAGAGAAAGCTCATGCCTTGGAGCCTATGTAGCCCTGGCACACTTCTTTCCCCCCAACTCGAGCATCCAGAGGGGCCAGAACCATCACTTGGCTCGCACAGACAGGAGAGAACAGCCATTTACCAGCTACCTTGGGTGCTTTTGACAAAGATCCCTACCAGTAAAACACAATAAAACCTTCACTTCTCTGGACTCAAAACCTGCCAAGTTTCTAATTAGTACACAACTGTCCTAGAGGCCAGTGTAATCTTACAAACTTTGCCTCATTTTACTAAGTTTCACTATTCATTATGACTTAACTCAGAACACCGAAGACTTTGGACATGAAAGAAGCTACTAGTTTCTATCATGAGTGGTGGCAGACCACAGAATCTAAAACAAATTTTGAAGAAAGCTTCCGTTGGACCTCACTTTAAGGAAAACCAATCATTTCCAATCTACTTACTCTAATACTTTAAAAAGAATTATTAAAAACTGGGTTTATAACAAATAATTAGATTTATTTAAAACATCATTCTCTTGGAAGGCAAACTTCTTTGGCAATCCAAAAGTAAAAACTCTTCTATCCATGCAAGAGAACCTACGCGGAGAGCATTGAACTAGGTGCCCTAGGGTGGAAAGCAGAGTTGCTAAAACCAACACCTAAGACACAACAGCACACAAACAGCACAGAACTAATTGCTCCATTGTCCAGGTCATGAAAACCACAGGAGCACAGGACAGAAAGATCAGTGTGGGCCTGAACACCAAGTGGAGGCCTTGTGTAGAAGCTGCCAATTGAGCTGGGCCTTGCTGTGGCCTGGGCGATAGCTGGACAGAAAAGTGAGACCGGGCCGGAGACACCCAACATGTAGCCCACGGGGCAAATTCAGCCCACCTGCTCCTGGAGTTTTATTGCCTACTTTAGATTTTAGGGGAAAGAAAAAGGGCATTCCATAATGGAGCCAGCAGATTTAACAACCAGAAGTTTAAAAACCACTACATTTACTCTACAAATGTTCCCTGCATGAATTATAAAAAAGGATCTATCTCTTTGTGAACCAACTGCCAAAAGGTACTCCTTTGCCAAATGACCAATTCTCAAACTTTTTAGTCTCAGGACACCTTTCCACTCTTAAAAATTATTGATGACCTCAAATAACTTTTGTTTATGTGATTTATATCCAGCAGGATGCTGTAAACGCACAACCAGCTCCTGGGAAGGGAGAATGCTATGGGTAACTTTTGCAGATTTCTGTAATTTCAATACTCCTACTATGGCAGATTTCAAGCTACCAATGGGTGACACTGAACACAAAGCTGGAAAAAGATGTACACAATCGGCTCTCACAAGCCAGCTCAGCCCACTGTTGGTTATATGTATTGATATTTACCACATTAGAAATTAAAACTGAGAAATGTTTAAAATACTTAGTAACTCACTTAAAAATAACAATAATACCATTACACGCTAACATAAATAACATTTTATGAAGACTACTTTCCAAGACAAAATAATTAATGACAAGAGTGTCAATGTTTTACATTTTTACAAATTCTTTTAATGTCTGGTTTAACTTAAAACAGCTGGATTTCATACCTATTTCTGCACTGAATCTGTTGCAATATGTTATTTTAATCAGTATGTGAATAAACTATGCCTCTTACACATGTATGATTAGAAAAGGAGGAGTATTTCAATGGCTTTTTCAGAGAAATGTGGGTATTCTTCTTTGATACTACACCAAAACTCAGCAAGTGGTTGTTTCTTAAAGGTTAGTGGCCATGTGGAATCTGAAAACTTAGTTACGTTAAAATCCATTCATCTATCTTATACTTATACATTGATCTATCTTATACTCTTTAGCCAGGCATGATTTTGTAACGTTATGCGGTAGTTATTTGGAAAGTACTGGCTCACTGAGTTAAGTAGATCTCGCAAATGCTGACACATTTCATGATACACTATCAGAAAATCACATTCATTAAAATCAACATCAACTTCATCAGAAAACTATAAATACTGGGAAGCTATCAAGCTCAAAATGGCAGATGGAGATTTTCCAAAATTCAAAACTGCTGCTTAAAAGCCTGAATTGTATCATTGGCAATAAATACTGTTAATTGTTTTCCTTGACGTGACAAGCTTACTTCATTTTTTTTTGAATTTTTGAATTTCATTTTATTTTTTTATACAGCAGGTTCTTATTAGTTGTCCATTTTATACACATCAGTGTATACATGTCATTCCCAATCGCCCAATTCATCACACCACCCACCTCCCGCCTCAGCCCCTGCCACTTTCCCCCCTCGGTGTCCATACATTTGTTCACTACACCTGTGTCTCTGTTTCTGCCCTGCAAACCGGTTCATCTGTACCATTTTTCTAGGTTCCACATACACGTGTTAATATACGATATTTGTTTTTCTCTTTCTGACTTACTTCACTCTGTATGACAGTCTCTAGATTCATCCACTCATTTTCTTTTGAGAAAATGTTTTTCAAATACTCAAGTTTGAACAGTCATAGTTTGGCTATTTGCCATTATTTCAAGAAAAATCATGTTCTGTTTGGGGGGGTGGGGGAATGCAGCTAGTTCTTCTTGCCTCTCATTCAATAACTCAAGTGTTTTTTTTCTCAAGATCACCATTGGTCTTCAGTACGCAGCAGAAATGCTTTCAGTGAATGTCCCACTTCCACAGCACAGAATATTAAAACAACATGTACTCGAGGGTCAAGATTTAATACAATTGGTAATGTTTGCTGATTCATCAGGGACAGTCTTAAGTGAAACTGACATTTTTAAAAAAAACCTGCAAGTTAATGTAGTGAAGACCACAATGACAGTTTGGCACCACTGCCACTGACTTGATCGTGCTAAGGTGCCAAGTTTTACCCCCCCAACTGTTTTTGCACCATCAGGGCAAATGCCAATACAGAGAAAAAAAGAAAATAAATCTTAGTATTACCGTGAAAATAGGTTTGTCATCCCAAACCTCCAGGCATGATTGTGTAACACCATGTGGGAGTTATTTGGAAAATACTGGGTCCTTGGAGTCTCCTCCAGGCCTCCCTGTACCACATTATGAAAACTACTGCTCTATCCTCACGCAGCCCCTAGGTAAGCCCTGCTCACAGCTCAGAGCACAGAGTGCTGAAGCAGGCGGCAATTTCAGCTCCACCACAGCAGCACAGCCAAAACCACCATATATAGTAACCCTGATAGAGCATTTGTATCGCAGAGATTGAGCAAAACAGAATATACATTATACCCAAGAGTATTACTAGTATTCCTACAGACTGGACTTGTGGCTTGAGATGGCAGATAGTGCCACATTCACTTTCATGGGGAAATGACCAGCTTCAAAGAAATTAGATATTTTGAAGAATTGAAGAACAACACAAGAAAGATTCATGGGGTTTTGATAAGTATAAATCATGCTTTAAGTTGCTCTAATTGTCTTTCGGGTGTAATTTTCAGGACTTCAAATTATTAAACAACGCTCTATCAAAAAGGCTTAGTGAGAAGAAAACCTGCTGTAGAAAGGGAGCTGTACCCACTAGTACAAAACTGTATTCCTAGAATTCTGGAGATGAGTTATACAAATCTGTAATTCAGTGAAAACTCTCATGTCTGAGCTCTGGGTAGTACAAAAAGCTCATGAGACAACTCTTTAGTTAAACTGTTGAAATAGAGGCTGAGAAGCAGCACAAGTGACATACCCTAGAGTCACAATTCCAATGTATCCTTAAAAAACAACACCACCACTCTTAGATCTAGAGAACCTGTCAGGCATTCTACATTCTTACTGGTTTTGCCAAAACTGATCTGTGACTAGCATTAAGCTTATTAACTAACTGTACTGGTAGAGTTAACAGGATAAACATCATCATTCATAGGAAAAAAATTCATGTGGCTCCCCACCTTTAACATCTTATCATTATTATTATTCTATTGATCACATGAGCCACAAGTAAATACAGGGTGCCCTTGAAGTAGGATGTGGTCCACGGATGGCACAGAAGGAACTCAGGCAATGATTCAAGAACATGCATGGTGGCCCCAAAGCCAAAAATGGGTAAATAAAGAAGCATCTTTTTGTTTTTGTGCAAGGTGGCAGATTCAGTTTTAGGCAGGCTAGGGTGAAGCAATGGGAGGAAACCAGTTGCAAATGTTTAGTGGGCAAGGAGAATTATGGGACTGATGCTTGGGTTAGAGCTCAGGAAATAAAGATGTGAGATACACTGACAAAAAGCAACCTATAAAGACTACTATACTTTATTCACAATGTGCAAATAGAATTCTAAAGAAGCTCTGGAAAGAGAAGGAAATTAAGTCTCTCCTAAAGGACACTACTGATAGAGACACAAATTTTAGTTCACTTGAACTAAAATATGCATACTTCACGTGGAAACAGATCTTTCTTATAAACATCATATGCTCATTCCAAAACT